ATAGATAGATAGATAGATAGATAGATAGATAGATAGATAGATAGATACATAGATAGATAGATAGATAGATAGATAGATAGAGAGACAGATAGATAGATAGATAGATAGATAGATAGATAGATAGATAAACACATATAATATTGTGACACATTGTGATTCTGAACAACGCCCGCAAAAGCACAAGCAAACAAAACAATCAGCACAACCTTGCAAGGCAACAAGCGACACAAGCTATGCAGCAGCCAGGCTTCAAGCACATCTAGATTCTTGTGGTCATACTTTGTCATGATTTGCCGCAACAAGTGTTGTGCCATGCAAATGTCCAGGAGCACATCATCTTCTCCCAACGACCTGTCGAGATGATCACTTCCTCGTCCACAATACCTAAACTAAACTAGACTTAGACTCAACACAGCTGTACTGCCAGCCGATCTGTCAAAGAATCAATCAACGTGCCCGCTGACCCCATGAAAATTTCAATCAACGCCCCAGCAACCCTGAAGAGCTATGACTGTTGGCTTACCCGGATCTCTTGTAGCTCTCTTTCGAAAGCTGTTGGGGCAAAATAGTAAGGGGTCCCATCATCAAAGCAAGGCAATGTGCTAGTGGTTGCGGAAGCAGCCTAGGTATTGACCGATCACCTGTTCACAGCAGCATGTTGAAACACCCTATAGTCAATCCGCACTGTACCAAAATGCATTGCCCAACTCAGTGCTGGATAAATTCTTGCACATCTTTGGAGAAGGCCGTCTGTGGTAACCAATATCCACAGTTTCAGCAAACGTGATATCAAGTCAGCTGTACCTTCATCCTGGGTTCTGGACCTGCCAAAAATCTTTACCTCGACAACTGCTGTGCAGCCGGTAGTGAACGGTTGTGATCCACCTTAAAGCAACATCAACAGCGTTCATGCGCGAAGGCATCCGACTATATTTCTCAATACACACTGTGATAGTGTTGACTTCAAAAGGACACCATTGACACCTCTCTGCTGCAAACCAAGCATGGATGGCCCTGGAACACAACTTACCCTGGCATCCTAGAATCCTATTCAGTCGAAAGACACTGTCACAATGGACTGTTTGGTCTGTGAGTTGGCGGGGCAAATCGAACTCTCGGGGACAGGGGTATATTACGGTATACTCCACTTGTCCTGCAGGAACGTGGTATTCTGGGCATATTGTATTCGTAGAAGGGTTAGTGACCAACGGGAAACAGTTGGAAGAAACCTGTTGTCGTTATATACTCATCCCGAATCATCCCGAATCTATTGTCACGATAACAATAAGCTACTAGGAACAAGTGCATCGCTTCTAGTAACAAGTGCCTTACTAGTAGTAACAAGAAGCTACTAGAAACAATAAGCTACTAGGAGCAAGAAATCATTGGTCTGACCCGAGGACCGGACCACATCTGACCCCGCCCGAATTCTGACCAAGCGCCGAAGTGGAACGTGTGCGAATACATACATCGGTCCTGCACCCCAATCCAGTAACTGCAGTGGCGGACCTGCAAGGCGTTTGCCCATGGGCTTGAACTCGCAGCACCACCGTGCCCTTTGCAACAAAGTGATCTCAAACATTTAGAGAGCTGGGGACTGTGGTAGTACACTATTCTCTTGTTTCTCATATGTTTCTACCTCAGTACATTATTGCTATGATACAAATTCATCTACCATATCTTCTTGCATTGGTATTATATAATACTTGTTGTTGTATTTTACAATAGTCTATCAAAGGACCTATATGACAAAAAAAATTACAAATGATATTTTGATGCTCTACTGTCTATAGTATGTCCATGGTTTTGATTCATCTATCACAAACAACTTCACAATATCATTTGAAAGTATTGAAACCACTGTTTCATTGTTACAGTAACCCTTGCGCTGTCAAATTTGTTGCTAGTGTCAAGAGACACATCTCAGAGAGGTAGTGGCTAGACAAACTATGCAGGAAAACAAGGCTATGAGTCGAGTCAGAAAGACGATGTCTCACAACTCAAAAATTCCAAAACTATTGACCCAATAGTCTTAGATGCACCAACATCCATTGGGTTGGATTGTTTGTAATTTTTGGATTTGGAAACCGTGTCAAAAACAACAATTCAAAACATCTAAAAACAACAACAATTCCAAAACTATTGACCCAATAGTCTTAGCTGCACCAACATCCATGGGGGTTGGATTTATTTTGTAATTTTTGATTTGGACACTGTGTCAAAAACAACAATTCAAAAATTCATAAAACTACCAAAATTTCAAAAATGGTCTTAGCTGCATCAACATCCAGTGGGTTGGAATTTTTGGAATTGTTGGTTACAGCAGTGCAGTGCAGAGGTCCAGATATGATGATTGTGTGGTTCATGACTGCAGTGCGGTGCAGACGTTCAGATATTGTAAGGGTTGTAGTTGAGTGCAGTTGCAAAAAAAATGGAAACATGAGAAAAAAGTGAACTACCACGGTCCCCTGTTTCTGAAAATGTAATATCGTGTTCAAATTGCTTGCAGAATTGCCACAGCATCGCCTTTGCGCCACCAAACCATTTCAAAGGCAAACGAAGAGGCAGTGCCCCTGACCGATTCTGTGACACGTAGACACAGGGCGGTATCAGGTAAATTCCATGGTTCCATTGTTGGCTATGCCCAAGAAAAAAGGCTGACACATTGATTCTCACTGCTGGGGAAAAATCGTTGCACAAGCCAAAACACTGCTGACTGTGAAACAAACACGGTGATTTGCCATCCCTGCCTTTTCCAGTGCACCGCAACATGGCCCAGGCGCTATGGCTCAGGATGTATATCAATGCTTAATACATGCTAGACACTTTACTCCAGTCTGTTAAACTTCCTGTACATTAAAGATGTGTTGAACTGGTGAAACGCACTGATGAAGGCACCCAGGAGGTGTTGGCGGGGAAGGCCACATTCTTTTCCTATCTTTTCCTACCGTGGTTTCTGTGGCAAGAGATCCTAATTAATCCAGCAAATAAAGTTATACAATTCACAATTGCTTTTTATTCAAAGAACATAAACGGCATGGGATGTTGATTGGGGGGGTTAAAATCGCATTGTGCATTTAGAGTTTTCCTTTGAATTGCAAGCTGCTACACTGTATGTGACCTTACACTCATATCAATCCAACAAATTGAACAGAGTGCTTGAGGCTGTAAGGCAAAGGCAATCGGCAATCACGATCAATATTGAGGACAAGCATTGTAGGGCAAGGCAAATCTCCTTCCATCTGGGGTCTGGTAAAAAGAACCCGAAGTGCAGTACGTTCAAAGATAGAAACTTGAACACAAGCAAGGAGCTTGCAGTTTGACGTTAGGTTCTCAACCTATCCCAGGATAAGATTTGCCTTTCTTGTGACAAATGGTTGAGAGAATTCTTCAGGCACCTTGCTTAGTCTGAAGGACTTCTACTCCTCGGTGTCGCGGGTGTAGCCGAGCGCAAACCTGCAACGAAAATGCTTGGCACAAGCTGCGCTCCAGCAATGATTGCACTTGTTCACACAGTTATAAGGAGCATGGCTGAAACAGTGACAGTGAGTATATGTGTATATATATATATATCCTAATATAATATAATATGTGTATCCTTTGTGTTTGCATTCTGGTGAGTTTGATGGTCCTTACACGTCAAGCATGTTTCGCGAGAACCCAAGGCCCAACGAGCAGTGAATGGATGGACACTGCCTATGCGTCAACAAAAGCCAAAGTAAGAAATCCCAAAGTCATCCAACGTCGCACCATCCAGTCTCTCCAGTTTTCTCTTTTTTGCCAAACACCTCAGCGATGGAAAATGTTTGTAGCGTCACAAAACTAACCAGGTGATATGTGCGATCCGCCTAAACTGTATTGAATAGACATCTGCAAAGTTTGGTTGCTTGATGTTACTTCGGCTACATGTGACCCAGGCTCCTTCACTGCAATCTGATGCCTTGTGGTCTTGAGAAAAAAACCTAGGATAAATACTCACGTTTTCCTTCAAGCGGAGGAGCTTCCCTCAGTACCCTTCGTCCCAAGCCCTGAAGCGAACTAAATACCAGTTTCAAACGAACCTAGCCTACAGCCGCCTACAGCTTTCCTCTTCTTGCCTCTGAGGCCTATTAGAAAGAAGTACAGAAAGTCAGGTCGACAAAGCAATCAAAGCCGCTCTAAAAGTCTAAAGAAACAAAGAAGTGTCTTCGATTCCTGGGATCACAAACCCATCGATCCAGGTCACCCTCTGGGGCGTCTGGATCCTGGGGAGGGACGACTTCCATTGCACTCTCTGACCGACTGTCCTATGGAGCGTCCACTCAGCTCACTGAAACACTGACCAATCGGTTTGCAAAGCTGCACCGAAACACACACTGAGGATGCTCAAACGACGAAATGCACACAGCACCTCTTTTGTGTGAAGGGCACACTCCTCCTGGACAGTGATAATCTCGCCCACCTTCAATTCCAATTCACCTGCCAAATACATGCACACAAATAGTTGCTGGTGACGAGCAGGGGAATATGATGGATAACCGATCAGGTTCCAGTAGCCTTGTTTTTACTTGCACTATTTTGAGAAAACATGCAAAGAGTCCGCTCTAATGAGCTCTTCAACCGCACAAAAGCGCAGGTGGGCAGGAAAGTTGTTGTCCAATCAAAGAACTGTTTGGGCATGCTGCGACAATCCAATACAATTGCAGCTTGCCCGCACCAAACAAACTATGTCTTCCTGAATTGGCTTTGTGCTCGCAAAATCACCTCTCTTCTGATATCTCCTCCCCAAATCATGGAATAGCCAAATCCAAGCAATGTCTGCCATTGACACAAGAGCGTTTGCCAACACGGCACTGTGGTTTGGTTTCACTGCGTGAGGGAGAGCATGTTGCCGCCATGTTAGGCCTGAACCTTCTGACTCGCAGTCTTGTGTGACTTTTCGCCTGTATGGCACCTGCGGAAACACAGCATGACTGTATAGTCAGTGGCAGGTATTGTGAGGGCAGAAAGGAAAATATCTTTTCTCCCCATCATCTCCCAAGCAGCTTGCTTGGCTCACTGTCAGTCATCAGGAAAGAAACCCCAAATTCCATAACGCTGGGTCAAGTACCATTTAAACACCATGCCTTTTCAATAAACAGTAAGGCGTTGACTGGGACAGCTCCTTTCATGCCGCTCTATTTGTTTGCGACCCCTTTGCCGTTGATACAAGTAGTTCCCGGGCAAGCCGGCGGCGGAAGTTTCCTATAAGAACAAATTGACCTATAGGAGTGTCCACGTTCTCTCCAACATGCGCGTCCTCCAGTCAAACGCACGCGCTCTGGACTTTTGACCCACGGGATTCCACGTGTGTAAGGTGTGTGCTCCCTGCAGGATCAGCAGCTCACAACAGCGTACTGGGTTGTATCTTTGCCACGACAAGAGGGGTGTATGACGAGTGGTGTGTGATGAGTGGTGTATGCTGAGTGGTGTATGATGAGTGGTGTATTGACCAGCAGTTGAATGTCCTGTCCTGCATAAATGCAACCAAATACTATCAGTATGAACTGTGCCAAACCTGCACGCCGCGAGAGATGACTCCTCCGTGTACTACACTTGTACTACAAAGTGGCCGGTTCTCAGCTTCCAGCTCCACAGGTTGTTCCGCGTGCTAAAGTTGTACTAGAAAGTCGCCAGTCAGTTCTCATCTTCCAGCTCCCCAGATGCTCCGCGTACTGCAGTTGTACTACACAGTCGCCAGTTCTCAGCTTCTAGCTGCACAGATTGCTCCGCGTACTAAAGTTGTACTACAAAGTCGCCAGTTCTCAGCTTCCAGCTCTACAGATTGCTCCGCGTACTAAAGTTGTACTTGAAAGTCGCCAGTTCTCAGCTTCCAGCTCTACAGATTGCTCCGCGTACTAAATTGTACTACAAAGTCGCCAGTTCTCAGCTTCCAGCTCTACAGATTGCTCCGCGCACTAAAGTTGTACTACACAGTCGCCCGTTCTCAGCTTCCAGCTCTACAGATTGCTCCGCGTACTAAAGTTGTACTAGAAAGTCGCCAGTTCTCAGCTTCCAGCTCTACAGATTGCTCCGCGTACTAAAGTTGTACTAGAAAGTCGCCAGTTCTCAGCTTCCAGCTCCACAGATACTCCGCGTACTAAAGTTGTACTACAAAGTCGCCAGTTCTCATCGTCCAGCTCGCCAGATACTCCGCGTACTAAAGTTGTACTACAAAGTCGCCAGTTCTCAGCTTCCAGCTCTACAGATTGCTCCA